CTCCTGTATAAAAGATGCTTAGAATTAAAAATCTGTGTGCTTGTTACGTGAAATTATTCCGCTTGCACCTTGTATTGCTAGCAATAAATCTTTATACTTTCACCCCTGGTATCTTTATTGGATTTTGCATACCGGGCACGATCCCAGACTTGAGCTGGGGATCAACACTGGGACCTGGCCCGTGCACTGCGAGTGTTCAAATATTACCGCCAGTGGTTGTGCAATGACGTCAGCCAGTGCCTTCAGTACCCCCGGATGGAGCTCATCCGGGCCTGCCAACTTAAACTCATCCGTCCTTCCAAGTGACTATGTAGTATCTCAGGGTCAATGCTTGGTAGTCTGGCGCCTTGCTGCTGCCTCTCTACAGTCCCATTGAGAGACTTGTCTTGCCCCTCGCTTAGGAACACTGAGGCAAAGAACTCATTGAGGAGTTCAGTCTTGTCCCCCCTGCTACCACACATTCCTTAGTAACTTCAAGAGGGCTAACATAGGACTTTACTTTTCTGTTCACAAGGGCCAAAGTGAAGTGTTAGCCATTAGATCACAGTTTCTTCATGCTCCTAGTCCTCTATGATTCTGTTGCAGCAAAGAAAAATCAGCATCACTACTTAAGACACACACCTCAACTTTCAAGACCTGATTTTGGGTGGAAAGGTGTGTCACACTAGTAAATATGGTAACTTGATTACACAGTGTAAGAAAATTCTTCACCTAATTAGATTGAATGTCTCTTTGTTCTGGTGTTGCAAGACAGGCTGATTTAGACGTTCTCAGTTTGCCTTATTTTGATTATTCATTATTTTATGTACGTCTATCATATACCGTCTCAACTTGCCTCCCTACTAATTTAAACAAGCCAGTCTTTCTAATTGCTCTTTAAGGAGTTTTTCTATGCCGTGGTTCATCCTGGTTACCTTTCTCAGTGCCCCTTGAACTCTGCCACGTGCTTTTGGGGATTGGGTGAATACTACTGTATGCAACATTCTAGGTACCACTGCATCACTGATTGACATAAAGGGATTGTAATATCCTCTGTGTCATTTGTCCTTGTATTCCTTATACAATCTAGCATCTTCTTTACTATGACTGCAACTATAGAAAGTTCCTTGACTGCAGCTATCGATCTCCTTGAGCTATCTATCTACAAGGATGCACAAATCCCTTTCTTGGGTTGACAGTTTTCAAAAACATATTGAGGTGGAAGTGTTCTTTCCTTTCGAGTGTTCATTATTTAGTTTCTAATTAAATGAACATATTTTTTAATCACAACCACACCATGAAAACCTAATGGAGATTTAGAACTGTAATGTGCTTAAATGTTATATAGAAAAAAGAATCATTCTGTATCACATTTAACAGATTGTTAGGTCTCTCTCAAGTTCTTCCAGAGTCTTTCTGGCTTGTCCTAACTAGCTTAAAATGACTATGTCATCTGCAAATGTTGCTACCTTAATACTGAGTCTCTAGCTCAGATCCAGAACCTAGTGCTATTGCCCTATTTATAAATGCAAATTCTTTCGGTTTGGGATTATATAGAGATTTACTGTGTTCTCTCCACTAAAAGTTATCATCGTGCAAAATTAAAAGTATCCTTTAGATGTAGTGTTCCATCCAACCTCTATAGCAGGGGTTCTCAAACCCCAGGCCGCGGCCTGGTGCTGGGTCATGGCGGATCGGCTGCCAGACCAGAAGTGGCCACAGACCAGCTAACCGGGGAGTGGGGATATCCTTACCTGTCTTCCAGCCGGAAAGTCTGGCCACGGTCAGCTGTGACTGCGGGGCAGCAACATAAAAACTTTGGGAACCCCTGCTCTATAGTATTGAGCTTCCTGTATTGTCTGTAACTAGGTGTAAAAATTTCACTAAAAACTGAAATTGAAATTGTTATTATTCCACCCAGTTTTAGTGACTTCCATTTATATCAAGACCTTGAGCTACTGCAGTTACATCCAGACAAATACATGCATGTGGGCATTCCCCACGCTGCTAATTTGCAATGCAGAGGGGTTTTTTGACACTGGGAGATCCAGTGCCTAAAAAAATGGGGCGGCACATGTTACTCTTCATGTCCTTTACTAGCTGCAACTCCAGTTGATCTAGTTGGGGATGGTCCTGCTTTGAGCAGTTGGACTAGATGACTTCTTGAGGTCTCTTCCAACCCTAACTTTCAATGATTCTATCATCACACTGTGCAATTGTCTGTTTTTATATCCTCGGTGAAAATAATAGGATTGAATAGAGAGAAAATATTCTCAAGCAAATGTTATTTACCAACATGTAGGTCAACAATGCATATATTACATGAAAATGTGTTATGGCTTAAATATCCATATTGTATCATTAAATATTAATTCTTAAAAGGAAATGACTAGCTTTCTGAATGCTACTTCTTATATAACATTTTTTTCACTATGCTTGTATCTCACAAAATCCAGATATAAAAAATTGCAGTACATGGTAGTTTAACTGTAGCAAAAATTGAATAATCAGTGCAGATTGTCAGGAGTAATTTGACTGGGATCTCAACCATTAGTAACGCTGTCAGATACTGGTCAAGAAACATACCAAGATGCACTGTGCGATTTTTTTTTTTTAATTTATTTATTTATGTATTTTTTAAATACAGGAATTTGGAAGGTGATGTTGCCTTGCGAAGCTCTGCTGCTGTCTACACTTACTGCAAATCGCGAGGGTTATTTGCAGGGGTATCTTTGGAAGGAACCTGTTTAATTGAAAGGAAAGAAACTAATCGAAAGTAAGTCCTGTTAAAAAAAAAAAAATGATTTGGTTAAGTTAAATGGTGACAATAGAGGCACAACAAATGGTACTTGTTAAACAGTGTTTACAGGGGTGGGGTTTAATTTTGTTTAAATGTATTATAGAAGTGTTCCATGCTGTGTCGTTTGTTTGTTTGTTTGTTATAATGAGTGGGGAAAAGGAAGGACTATATATTTAGTAGTCTCTGCGTAATAATGGCAAACTTTTTTCCCATATATTACATTGCATAAGCAAACAAATTATGCTGAAATGTTAATGGAAGGGTCAATAGGAAAATACTTGAAATAGTTGTTTAGTGAACTTTGTAGAACAGGAACACTGTGGGGTACCACTTACGTGTTGGGTTCCTCACAACTAGTGTACCACTCATAATAAATTGAGGTAAGAGTAGTCATTGTTCAGGTGAAATATGGGACAAACAGAAAAGAAAATTTTGGCTATTTAGATTTCTATTAACATAGTGGAACAATGTCAGTCTGTGGAGTGACTTCAGTTAGCTCTAATGTGATTATCCAAAGCAGAATTAGAACCACAGTAATTTCCATCATATTAGCAGTGGCAGTTGAGTATTGCCTTACACGAACATCAATCTCTGCACACCATGCTACAATTTTTCTGCAGTTTAGCACAGAGTACTTCATTCTAAATTCAAAAACATTATTTTGGAACACACAGAATGAACACGTTACTTTTGTCTTGGAATGCCAAGTCGTTCAGCTTTTTTTTTTTCTTTTTCTTTTTAAATAAATTGTGCGGTATGGTTTAGAGCAAGGCAGTCCAACTTCTAAGTAGCTGGGGGCCCCATGCCATACAGGTCACATCAGCAGGGGCTGCATGCTGTGCTGACATCCCTTTCTTCCCACCCCTCCTTGCCCCCCACCACACACACTGTACCACATGTGCAGGCAGAACAACTTCACCCTCAGCTTCCCAGCCACAGGCTTCCCCCACATTGCTCCATGCTGAGTTGGTGCCTTGGGCTGCAAGCTCCCCTGGCCCCACAAGTTATTCTGCACTCCCCCCTGTAGTGGAGGCAGGAAGCAGATGCAGGAGGAGGGAGGGGGGTCCTGAAGACCCTGTGTACTGCTACAGCCAGTTATGGGGGGGAGCTGTGGTCAGGTAGGAGCCTGGGGGCTACAAATTAACTCTTTATGCACTACATGCAGCCCATGGGCTGCCAGTTGAACAGTCCTGGTTTAGTCTCATTGAAGAATATCAAGAACATGTTCTTACATAGCTTTCTTTTCCCATAACTGATAATAACACTGTCAAAATTATGGAAGAATTAGGTCCAGTTTTCAGAATCTTATGTTTTCTCGATTCTTTTGGCACATTTCACTAATGACAATCAAAGCAACACATATATGCATCCTAGTCATCTTTAAATTTTAACTTGATTGTCAGGTGCTTTTTCATGTATAACATAAATTTGGTAAACTCAATGTTAGACATGACAAAAATTAGAAAGTGTAACCAACCTAATAATTCATCAAGAGTCAAGGCCCTTAAAAATCACAAATGATCTGTATGCATGCCACTATAATTAATCTTTACACAACAAGGTTTAGACAAACAGTTGTGTGAGCACAGGCAGTGCAATAGGCTCTGGGAGCTTCTTCTTTACACAGGATAGTTTATGGCCAGTGTGCAATGTGCCCTCTTTGCATAAGGAGAACTTATGTGCCCCTGCCCTGGGAACTGCCAAAATGAGCTGGTGATTCTTAGTTTCCTACTGTAAATAAGGCAACTCTAAGAGTCCTAAGCAGTAAACTTGTATGTGCTTAATACCAGACATCCACTGCAATATTTGTGGTACGGTATGAAAGCTACAGAGTTTGTGAATGTTATCAAGAGTCATGTGTCCCTTTTCATCATAATGAAAGTCAGTAAACACAGTGGACCAAGAATTTTCAGTATACAAATCCTCTGCGCTTTTTTGTTTACCCAAAGGTATCACAGTGGATCTTAAATGTGCATCAATAGGTCCTTAGTTGCTTAGGGCTTCTGCTAAGTCACTGCTCTATTGTCTGTTTTATTTAGAGCTTGCTTTGAATGCTTAAGTGTACCAGGTGATCCTGTGGTTGATATCTGAATACAAGGGGAGTTGGGGAAAGAGAGTCCTTCACGTTTGCTCAAAACATCAGTAAAGATTATTCTGGAATCAGAAAAGGAAATATTTCATTCTGGTGATCATTCCACAACAAATTCCACCATTGCTTCTTAGGTAATTGATAAAAACAAAGTAAATTAAATGTCACTATATACAACACAAAGAAATAGCCATGTTTCGTACATATGGACTCTGTTAAATTCTCAGAAATATAGGTGTTGATATAAGACTATTATCAAAGTAACTAATATTTTTAATGCTAGGTTCTATGGTCTGGATATTCGTGCTAGTGCTATTTTATTTGGTGATCTACCTCCTCCTGCTCATGCTGAAGACCTTTATAAAATTCTGAATTCTTTCACTGAAAAATATGAAATTGAAGAGCCGAAGCACCCTTCAAGGAAAGGACAAAGGGAACCAAAGAAGGTTTGCATACATCTTTTTTTCATATTGGGCTTATCAGTTACTGAAACCTTTCACTTTACAATAGAACCTAAGGCTTATACTAGGATGAGCTTTGCAGTCTCTGCAAACTCAGTGAACTATATTGACTGCTGACTGGCTCAGAGGCTGTTCCTGTGTGTACGATTGTCACTGTTTGGAACAGTGGTGCTCAGCCTTCTCACGTTGCTGGCTGGAGGAGTGGTATAGGGCCAGTCTGAAGTCCCGATCCAGTGTGGGGGTTGATCACTGATGTGATCCGGCATGCTGGCCTAGCCTGATCCTGTGCATGTTCCTGATTCCGCATACCAACTCCACTATACACTGGTGTGATCTAGCATACAAGGTCATATCATCCACCCCGCAGGGCTCCCCACAGGTTTAGAAGTTTGGCAGCATGGGAACTGCGATTAACACTGCCACTGCACCCCCACCGCTACATTTTCAAACCTGTGGGGAGACCCATGATCTGGATGCCACAGTTCCACAGGCTGGTTCTGGCCAATGGGCTGCAGGTTGAGTGCAACTGGTTTAGAACTAATTGTGATAGTTCCCTGTATAGTCTAGTATAATAGTATCTTTCTTCCAAGAAAGCAATTAAATTGGAGAACTTGACACGTCGCACCCAGAAAAGTTTGTTTTAATTATTATTTTTAAATAAATTCTTCACCACTTACCTTGCTTTTTTCAGGAAATTCATTCATTATTAAAATGCCTGGATAGAAGTTTTATTTATAGTTGAGTTTCTCTCTCCCTTCTGGACTCCTTGGATGGGGTCATTACATTTTCTCAGTTAGAAGATATTGAGGATTGTAGAAGGAATTTTTATCAGTCTATACCTGGTTTTCATCCAGATATAATTCCTGGTGCTACCAATGCACTGCAGAATATATAATTTATTTTCCACTTTAGTGTTAAAACTTCATTTGAAGAATTATTGTATAACTCTGTCCAAAGATGTTATTGGTGCTTTTTATGGTCTTCTGGTCTACATCAGGTTCTTCAGTCACACTATTCTGTTCTTCCTCATGAGGTGAAATTTTATGTTACTTTTGAAATTATTTATTTTAGGCTAACAACCCACCTGTTAAACCATTATCGAGGCCACAATCACATAGACCATCTCTGAACACTGCATCAACAGGTTAGACAATGTTTTGGTGATAATATCAATTGTTTTGTGTAACAGCAAATTATTCTAAAATAAGCCTAATAAGTATTAATATTCTTACACAAATCAACTTTATTTTCTTGTGTGAAATGGTGAGATTGCTTAGCTAAAATATGGAAATATTTATTCTGAGAGTCTGGAAATGAAATGCTTGGAGTATTTTTTTTATATTTTTTGATAAATGTAATTTTAGCTAGTTTCTAAATGTCTCCAAATAATGAGATGTTTACCAGATGCTACAAAACTTATGAGCTGTTTTTACCTTTATGATAATTTATGACAATTTAAAATAGAAAATAAGTGCTAATGTCACAATTTGTTTGTGTGTGTGGTTCAAAAGTAGAATACTACTTTATACTGTGGAAATGTTTCTTTTATTTAAGATGAATGCATCCTTCTAAAAACTGCTGTCCTGTAGGAAGATATTTCTTTCCTGGCCTAAATGTCCTCTCTCTTCCCCTCTTTATTTATTCATAGATTCATAGATGTTAGGGTCGGAAGGAACTTCAATAGATCAGCAAGTCCGAACCCCTGCATACGCAGGAAAGAGGGCTGGGTTCAGATGACCACAGCCAGATGCGTAGCT